GGTCGTGTGTTTTTATGCGATTTGAACTCTGCACAGGATAAATCTGCCTCCGGTGATCTTGTTCACCGACATGTTAAACTTTAAACTTTGCAGCGACAGGGTTAAATATTGTGTATCTTGTAAAAGTCCCAGGAAAACGAAGCTCGTGATGTTGTTGTCATGCACCTGTTTGATGTGTGTGTGTGTGTCACAGCTCAGGAAACACGCAGCTGCCCCCATGTTTGTGTCTCAGTGGGGTGTAAACAGTTCTGATTCTCTTCCAGTGCAACATAGTGAGTTACTGGACGACCGACGTGATTTCAAGTGAGAAAAGATCTGTTTTCAACGTATTAGACCGCGATCACACCGTCTTCTAAATACTCTGTACCTGGTGTAACACGCCACGAACCTTTAACTCCATTAATGCAACAACAGAAAACTCTTCAAGCTTTTATACAGAACATGCATCAGATTTTCACTTCGTCCCGTGAAGAAGAAACGTATAAACAAACTGTGAGCAGAGCGTTGGGATTTCATTAGCAGTTCCCTCAGGTTCATGTTGGCGTCACGGGTCTGAATCCTGGGTGGAGTTTAATGTTAGCAACACCCCAGGGACTGGTGCTGGTCCCCAGGCCCTGAGCGGAACACACGCTCTACACCCGCTGCCGCCTTGCCACGTCACAGCCCCGCCCCCTCACTCACCACCCCAGCAGCCTGCTCCGCCCCCTGTCACATGCGTATGGTCGCTCTGGTTGCTAACTGTGGCGCTGGAGTGTGCGTGTCGAGTTAACTTACATAGCTAAGTCTTAATACATGATATGACATATAAACACATCCATAATGAGATTAATGATTCTGATTGACTACGTGATTACAGGATTTCTCTGGGTGACAATAAAACTGCACAGAAATAAACGGAAGCATGATCGTGTCGTGTGTAATGACGCATGTACGTGTTTTTATCTGGACACTGATGACGTTAAGTAAACGAAAGAGAAGTGATGTGCTCATTGTGTGTGGTGATCATTTTATTTCATGGCAGTGTTAAAGATATTTCTCTCCTTTAAACAGTTAAACCATTAAATTGATCGAAAAAATGACGTGTTTGTTTATTGTAGAATGGTGGTGCGTGTCATCGTGTGTGTGTGTGTGTGTGTGTGTGTGTGTGTGTGAGACGTGTTCAGTTGAGCATTAACCACGTGTTGTGTGAAAGGCCTCGTAACCAAAGGTGTTCTCTCCGCTGTAGGCCACGTACAGGAAACCGTCCTCGTCCTTCTCCTTGTCGTAGAGTTGGCCCATCGTCAGACTGCAACACACAACACAAACCACTGATTAGATCACACACACACACACACACACATGAACTGATTATATTTGTGTGGTCAAAGGTCAAAGGTCACAGGTCACAGTGATATACCACGGTCTGTATCGAGGTCCCGCCCATACAAGCACTTGGCCAATCGTGAGTCAGCCTCAGCTCCAGTATGTGATTCTGAACACGCTAACATCACAGCCGTGACGTGTCTCACCGGTGAATTATCAACACGACTGTGGGAAGCAGGTCAGATTCCTCCGATTCACCGCGTCGCTCTGGTGTTTCAGCAGACGACAGATCAGCTGAAGGGTTTTGTCTGCAGTTAATGGACAGTGCAGGTGTGTCCTCGTCCTCGTTCACAGGGGGATGGATTTCTCACACGATAAAATCACAGATGAACACATGAACAGATGAATGGGACGTCCGCTGTCACTGGACACTTTAAGTCCGCCTGGTAGTAGTAGTAGTAGTAGTAGAAGTAGTAGTAGTAGTAGTTGTATATACTCAGTAAACACAAACACTGGGTTAAGCTGAAGCTGATATTTGGTTTAAAAAAATAAATTCCCGATGTAAACAAACTCAGTGGATAAAAGGAAACGTTTCCTACAGGGTCGATCGGAGGAGCCGAGCCTCCAGACGAATTTATCGTCAATCTGCGTTCACCTGTGGTCACGAGCTCCGACTGAACGCTTCTGTAGGAGGTTTACTGGGCACGCCGAACCAGGAGGGACTACATATCCCATCAGCGGCTGGGCCTCCGCAACCCGAGCCCGGATAAGTGGAAGACAATGGATGAATGAAGAACCAATAATTTCACAGCTCAGGGATAAATGTGTTGCTCACATTGAGCCACGTTAACTGAAGCAGGAGGAGACAAACTCTTCACATGATGTAACCTGAAGCAGCGAAGTCTGGAGGGTGGCGTCGCTCTCACCTGGACTGGGGCACGGTTTTGTCGACGAAGAGGAAGATGGCTTTCTCTGAAGGCAGCTGGATGCGTTTCCTGATGATCCACATGAACTGGGCCACTGTGATGTCAGAGGGCACCAGGTACTTCCTCTTATCGATGTCCACGATCTGAGAGCCGGAGACCTTCTCCACGATCACCTGCAGGACACACGCAGACACACAACACACAGGTTCTTTTCACTTCACTGCTGGAACACGTCATACATGCTGTTTCCTCATGAAACGTGTTCCACATCACATGTTTTCTTCAGCAGCACATTCGGACTCAATCAGCAGCCAATCAAATGTCAACACGCTGAATCCATCAGATGTCGACTCCAAACGAACAACACACAAGTTTATATACACAAGTCTGATGAGCTGCCACTGTTTTCACACATGAGCTCTGGACATGTTGTGTGGTCATGTTGTGTAGTCATGTTGTCGACTCGTTCACAACAACAGGAACATGTGGGGGACACTCAGGCGAGGGGCGGAGCCTGTAAAGCAGCAGGAGGCGGGACATGACGTCTAAACTCCGCTGTGTAAAGATCAGTGTTGTTGTTTACAGCTCGTCCACACGGCGTCAGCCCTCATCACCAAAACATCTGGAACCTCCTCGTCTTTCCAAGTGGACGTCTTCGTCGACGTCTCCTCCTCTTCATCCTGAGACATTTGTGTTCTTCAGTTTCACGTCCGTCACGTGTTAGAAACCTCAGAGACACGCCCACTCGCTCTCTGAGAAGGTTCCAGATGTTTTACTAGAGGCTGCAGCAGAAGATCCAGAACACGTCCAGACTGTGTTCGTTTGCAAATGTGAAACAGTGAGAAGTGTGAAACTCGTAGCTCAGGACACATTCGTGTTCACTTTGACAAAAGGCTGAAGACACGTGTCTCAGACCTTCCTCCCGAATGACCCGTCTCACATTACAGTCATTCGATCCATTGCTCAAATTAAATATTAATTTGCGCAGCTTTTGTCACAAAAGAACCTGATGATTTGGGTTGAATAACGTTTTTTTTTAGCAGCTCTACCTTCCTCTCGTTTTACAAAAAGGAGGACGTTGGATTTGTGTCGTCTTTCTCTCTGCAGTCGTTTCTTTTAACAGGAGAAGAAAGGAACTTCACAGGTATTGTCGTCCACACAAAAGCCTGGGTTTGTATTTCCTCGGTTTAAAAGTTGTCCACAATGAGACTGTGTCCTGAGGTCAACGTCTACGTGCAGTTCAACATCTGTCTACACTTTAAGCAGCTGAGGGACGTTTCTTTACAACTTTATGAACTTCCCTTTCTGTGTCTCCTCCTCCAGGTGGTTTGTCTGTGAGCGAGGACAGTCTCTAAAGGTCAGAGACAGACTGATGACCTGAGTCGGTCCCAGCACTTGTCAATCAAGACTCACCCAGTCACTCTCTCCTTATCTCTACACTTCCTGTCACTCACTCCATCAGTACCCCCCCACACAGTCTCTCTCTCTCTCTCACACACACACACACACACACACACACACACACACACTCACCGGTACTCTGTCGGGATATTTGTTGCGTATTTTGGCCGACTCCACACATCGGTGCTCTGAGGGAGAGACAGACAACAAACAGGAAGTCAGAGATTACAGGGATGAGCGACATCTCTTGGGAGTCTCCTCACCTCCTTATCTCCTCCCCTCCTCCCCTCCTCCCCTCGCTGCCTCTCCTGGTCCTATGAGCTCTATGCGTTACATTAACGCTCAGCTATATACTTGCATATTGGAAATACTCTGCATACTGTGAACACTTGCACATTGTACTACTCAGCTGTGCTGCTCTTATTTATTATTTTTTACCATTAAAACATACTGTGTATATATTTTTAAATTTATATTGTTAAATGTTAATACTTGATTTTCTTATCTTATATTTAGAGATGTCTGACACGCACCAACAACACCAAAACATGTAATTAAAGCTTTTCTGATTCTGATTCTGATTCTGATTCCTGGATGAACTCAGCGACACATCAGGTCACAGTGACTCTAGACACATAAACTTTACTGATAAACATTCACCACTTATTACAGAACATGTGACAGTGTGTCTCAGTGGGAGCAGAGGGGGATGGACGATCAGAGATACGAGACCCACTTCTACAAACATCTCTCTTTTCTGTCTTCATCTTTTTTTAGGACACTTGATTTTATCTGAACCTGAAGAGACAATGAAACCAAGATTCACATCAGCTCATATTCCTCCCTGAACACTTTGAATATTCGCGGTGGTGGAACGTGTTAAAAGCTCTGAGAGTAACATTATTAACACTTTTCAGTTCAGCGTCAATAGTTAGCGTTCACCGATTATCGGTTCCTCTTGATATCGGTTCCTCTTGATATCGGTTCCTCTTGATATCGTTTCCGGACGATACTGAACCGTGGGAAGCAAAAAGCTCAACGACGACTAATGATTAAAAAGAACATTTTATACAAACCAACAGCTACATCCCTAAATGTCTAAAGTACGGTGGCCCTGAAGTGCAAATCCCAAAACACAACTGAAACAGAGAAAACTATTTGTCGTTGTGTTTTTTTTTTAATCGTCAAGTTTTCTTATTTGTTTGTGGTGTTGCTTTGAATTGTGGATTTTCTTATCCGAGGTGTTATCTGCTCTCTGACCTCTCTCCGGTGCTGCTGTGTGAACTACAGCTGTGCGGCTTTGATCAGCTGACTGCCTGTGATGCGTCACCATGACATCGGTGGTTTTTAACATGTGATGCTAGTCATGCACCGTTAGCTGCTGTAGCTTCGGATATTAGCAGCTCAGTGTTGCAGCAGCATGCAGCAGGTGAGCAGGAGGAGAATGAGGAGGCGAGACACGATGAACTGAGGAGGAGGAGAGGAGGAAGAGGAGGAAGAGGAAGAATGAGGAAGAGGAGGAGAGGAGGAGGAAGGTGCATGACATGACAAAAACATCCTCTGGTTTCATAACAATCCAAAGCGCGTTACCGAGGGAATGATCCTCTTTAAACATCCATTTCATGTTTGCTGCGGCCCCGCACTGACGCGTGATGGAGGAGACGGAGATGCGGGGGGAGGCCGGAGATGTGCGGGAGCCGTCGGTTTCTAACGTCCCGGAGAAAAGCGACCAAAACAAAACGTCACGCATCAGCTGTGCGTCCGGCCGGGAGGTGACGTCACTACCTGACCGAGGCGCGGTGCCGAGCTGCGTTCACGTGCTCCCGGAAATTGTCCGTCAGTCACTCTGGCCGCTGCCAGGATTTCTTCCGGGTTGTGCAGGGGGCGCTCGCGAGCTCGTCCAAACAACAAGATAAAAGCAGTAATATGACAGTAAAAAGACGTCACATGTAAAATACGTCACTGAGTCTCTCAGCCCTTTCTCCTCAGGCAGGTCGTCACAAAGACCTGACGTCACCTTTACTTTCCAGCCTGGACGAACACATAATGTACTTATATCATAAATAACATACATATACAATTCATTATCAACATGTCTTCTATTTAAAATAAACACAAAGACAGCCATCAGGGGTCAGGGGCGTTTGCGGGCCACAGTTTTCTGTCCTCTCCTTACATTTGGTGAAAAGAACTAAACTAACGACAAAACATTGACAAAATGTCTGATAATTCACCAGTTCTGGAGGTTACATGCAAAGAAAACACAAATACAGTTGGTTCGCATCTGTTTTCTTCTCGATGACGAATCTGAACATCTCAAAATAAGCTCATTGAGGGTCTTTAAGTGGAGTTTTTCCGTGACCAAACTCCCTGAATCCTAGGTTCCTTGAACGCAGCACGTCCGTCTCTCCATGGCAACCGAGAGACGCTGAACGCAACTCAACATGGCGGCGCTTGGTGCTAGGGGGCTAATGCTAGCAGCATGTTAGCGCGCTAGCTCTGTGTGCGGGGATCGAACGTCGGACTCGAACAGGTGGATGTTAGTGAACGACGCTCGGTTTGTTGTGTTTGCTCTGGTTTCTCCTCCACACTCTCAGTTAGCACAGGTGCTAGCTGTGCTAGCCGGGTCGTTAGCTAGCTCGCCGGCTGACACCGTTGTCTCCACCGTCGCTCATGGCTTTCTACGAGGTTTATTCTCATCCGGCTTTGATTCGGTACAAGACGAGTGTCTGTACCAAAGCCTCCCTCTTCCTCCTCGTGGTTCTGGGCCTCACCTACATCGCTCCTCTGCTGGTTGCTTACAGGAGCCAAGGTACAACACTGATCCGTGTCAAAGCCTCTTCATTCACGTGCAAGCTTGTGTTCCACCGCTGTGTTGATCTGTGTTTAGGGTTCTGGATTAAAATGAGCAGCTATGAGGAACAGCCGGTTGTTCGGTACCAGTACCAGGCTCTGCTGGTGGCGGCTACCGGTCCTCAGGGAGACTACGTGGCCTGGAGCACCTTCCCCCACCTGAACAACATGCTGGGGACCAACCTCCGGATCCCTGGCGTCTCTGTAAGGCAGCTCAGTGTGTCCTCTGTGTCCTGTGTGTCCTCTGTGTCCTGTGTGTCCTGTGTGTCCTGTGGTTTGTCCTCCTGTAGATTCTGATCCAACGAATCACATGCTGCTGTTTCACCTCCTGCAGGTGAGAGAGGAGGACACAAACCAGGACGGGAAGTTTGACCTCCTGACCTTTAAACTGCAGCTGCCCCTGAAAGCAGAGGAGCAGGTGCACAGTGTCCAGCTGCTGCTCACCTTCAGCTACCAGCTCTTTGTATGTTTCACACCGTCTGTCCACCGACACACACACAGTCTGGGAGGACACAGCTCAAACTAATACAACGTCAATGTTCCAATAAAGCCCGGCATGTTTTTTTTCTCGGTGTGGTCTCAGCGGATGTCCACGGTGGTGATGCAGAGCCTGGTCTATGTGCAGCACTCGTCCTCTGTCCCTGGAGCGAAGCTGTTCATCAGCGGAGACCTGAGGCTGCAGCAGAGGACGCCCCTGCCTCACCGAGGACTGTACAACATTTACAATGTGAGAGAGGACGCACGCTCACTATCTCAATGTTGTCGGCTTCACTCTCGTTTCCTGCTCTTCCACCAGAGTAAATGAAAGTAGAGCGGACCTCCATTAATGATTCTTCTGACACACCCAGCCTTCCCTCCACCGTAACTCATTCATATATTTGTACTTACTTATTATAAAGCCTGAGGTTGGCTTCATGTACTCAAACCAGATATCATCTACTATCATCTAGTTCCTTTGCTCTTTAATTTCCTGACAATCCCAGTAAAAATATTTGATGATGGTATATTACACATACTCTCCTTGAAGGCAGACGTGGAAGAACAGCTGATCTGTGAAGTCTTGTGAAAGTTCTCTGTCACGTTTGTTTGGTTTTTATTGACGCTCAGGTGTCCGTGATCGACGGCTCCAGCCCCTTTGCGAGCGCGTATGACCTCGATGACATCATCAGGAGATACCAGCAGAGAAACTGTGAGTTGACAATGACTGACTTTTTTTGTGTTTGCTTTTTTTTTTTTTTATGGCTGTTAATAAAGCCAGATGAAAACCTGCAGCTTATCTCATCCGCAGCACAAACGACCCCAGTCTCCATCTGTTTCTTTTCTCTGCCACAGTGACCACGGTGCTGTCCTGTCCCATGCCGGTGTGGACGGTGGGACGAGCTGCTGGTTCTCCCTTTGAGCTCAATGCAGAGATCCGGTACCCAGTGGAAGTCATTAGATATCCTCCGACAAGTGTGTGTGTGTATTTATTGTGTAGTATGTTACAACACTATATTAACAACAAGGTTAAATTCAAGAAGAAGCAGCTGGAAGTCAGATCATTTGCAATGGTTTATGGGATGTGTAGTTCCTTCACTGTTTAAATAATTATTTCCCAGTCTTTGAGTATTGTGTTATAATAATGGGGCGTGTTCCTTCTGTGTCGTTTCTCAATGTTTCAACAAATTCAAAGACACTGAGGACATTTCTTTGTTCACTGTGAACTTTTCTTCATCGTTTCCTCCTTAACGTTCCCTCCACCTATCGCCCCGGTTTCTGGGAAACCATCAAGTTCGCCTGGATCCAGTACGTCAGCGTCCTCCTCATCTTTCTGTGGGTCTTTGAACGCATCCAGAGATTTGTTTTCCAGAACCAGGTTCTGACCACCGTACCCGTACCAGTGGGAAAACCTCACCTGTCGTGATTCACTGGCAGTGATGGGACCTTCAGGTCAGTATCACATGTCTCACAATGACAACACATCACTGACTGAGTTTGAGGGAGCAGCCATTTTATTTATTTATTAGTTTTGTAAAAACAAAAACTAAATAAGAACATCCAGAAAACATCCAGGTCTGGTTTTAAACAAACATTCATTTATGTTTTCATGTTCTCCTCGACAGGTTTCCACGCCGGCCCTCTGCTGCTGAAAACAAACATTTCTGCTTTCTCTGCTGGTGAAATGAATTTTTTAAATGTATATAAATAGTATTTTTGTGATAGCAGTTTTGTTGATGTGCTTATTTTTGTACTGTTCCAAAGCTTTAGATGAATAATAATAAATGATGTGCCACAAATAACTGAACTGACATGCTGCAGAGCTGTGTGTGTGTGTGGGTGAGTGGGTGGGGGTGGGGGGATCAGGCGACTCCTCTCCAGCAGCCGGGGGCCTGTGCAAATATTTCAGTTTTATTTGTACTACCTGTGTTGTGTGCTACTTGCTAAGGAGGAGATATCCTGGATAAGTGAACTCAGGCCTGTTGATCCACAGGGACACAGATCAGGAACCTTGGCTCTGGTCCTTATCTACGACCCTCCGACCCTTTGGCGTGTCCAGATGAGCCCTTGTCTATAATCAAACGTTTTACAGAAGGACTATGAACTCCACCTGTTCGTTTCACTTATGTCACAAGGAGAGAGCTGTCCGTCAGAGCTTCAGGGGAAACATTACTCTTTTAACCATCGATTTACTTTCACAGCAGCAGCTTCGTGAATATTTGTGTTTTGCTCATTTACTGTCTGTTTACTGTTCAAACAGCCGTTCAGTCACGCTCATGGCGTCTTACATCAAACTGAACATACATATATACATATGTATACATATGTATATATGTATACATACAGTATGTATACATATATACATATGTATGTTCGAGCTGTGTCCTTTCTCTACAGATCACACACACATACATATACATATGTGTAAATGGTACATGTTGTACTTTGAGGGAGGACAGTCTGCAGTGCATTAGAGGCAGGAGGCATGGAGGAGGCTCCTTGTGTTTGTGTGTGTGTGTGTGTGTGTGTGCACATCTGGACCAGCTCCACTGTATTAGCTCATTTAAACCTCTCAGTCTGCCTGTGTAGTTTAGTGAGAGTCACACCCTGTGCATCTACACAACCACAACATCTACACAACCACAACATCTACACAACCACAACATCTACACAACTCACATCTACACAACCACAACATCTACACAACCACAACATCTACACAACCACAACATCTAGAGAACCACAAAATCTACACAACCACAAA